CTGTTTAAAAGTAAAACACACCCATGAAAAACTTGCCTATCTGCCCTTTCACCTGAAGGAGGCTGCAATGTCAACCGCACTTTATACTGACTCCACAGTAACAAGACATATCTTATTGCACCCAAACAGGTCAAGCTTTTTTGTTTCATTCCAAGCAGCTCAGTACTAGATTTTTGATGCATATAGAGCACATGGCTGTGAAAGACATGAATTCACTTTCAGGGATGGCCCAGCTTGACCTTTTTTAATGAGTTAGTTTTACAGGCATGTCTCCAATGACACACACCCACACACACACTTAGCTCAACAGCTGAAATGATCAAACAATTACTGGGGGGAAAAAAAGCGTAGGAGAAAAAAAAAAGGTTAGTGATCATGGAACTACAGGAGATGCTCAGAAAAAAAAAAAAAGAAAAAACATTCCATCAATTTTACTTCTTCATGCTTTACTTTCTGCCTGGGATAATCCTACATGGATTAAATAGTTGTTGCAGAAAGTGTATGGTTTAAACATCATATTAATAACAGCAAAAATAATGGCAAAACGTATTTTGTCATGAGGGGATTGTAACCATAAAAAAGTGCTCCTCCTGGGTAACCTTTGTAATAATTCTGCATGCTCAAAATGGATTTTCACAACACCTGACAGACAGAAGTCTTGTATTATTTTCATTTTGTCCTTAAACCCTGGGAAATAGCCAAGTCAATAGCATCGGAACTCTGATTCCAATTAGCAATCATTCAAAGAGTAAAATTGTTAAAGTGTTACCTAATGATGGAATAAGCACTTGTGAAGTGTTTATGCAAATTTTCTAAAATAATTCAGCAATATCTTTCTACCTTTTGCAACAATAAATTTATTGTCACAGTAATTAGAAGGCCTGTTAGATCTTAGTTGTCAGTTTGAGGTTTCTAGGCTATTTATTAGTCACTTCAGCTAGTCCTGCAGGAACTAAAATGGGAGAGAGGCACCTTTGAAGGGCAAATAATCCCAATTATCTCAGACACTTATCTTCAAATTACACCATATAGGTTCCTTCTGTCTCCTGAATACAGGTGGGAGTTACAGGACTTGCGAATGCCATATACCTGGCTTAAAGCAAGATAAACTCCACTCTCAGTGGGATTTGTGGAGTCCAGCTAGAAACGTCTAGAAAGACCTTTGGCAGGCCTTGTAAACCAAAGGCAAGAAACTACCAGGTAATCAAAAGGAATATGAGAAACAACTGAGAAAAGAGCTGAGAAAGGTGCTGCTGGGAAAAATAACACTGTACCATTCTGAACAACGATAAAAAAAGGGAGAAATTCTTCATGGATCTTCAACAAAAATTTAAAGGGTTGTAACACTTACATGACTGGCATCAAAAGAGCCACTTTTCATGGAATTTGCTTCCAGTTCACTTTAATTTACAGGCACATGGGTCACATATTTAAAAAATCAAGGACTATATTCTGAATTATTGTAAACAGCTAAAATTATTAACTGGTTTCACTAAGTGGAAACGCATTCAAAGGAAGAAGTCACCTTCCTAGGTAAAGGCACACACAAAGACAGTCCTAGATGCTCAAAGCATTCATTTAAGAGACATGCCTGACACACCAACCACCCTTCTCATCTTAGCACAGCTAATAAACAGAAGCATCCTTAAATATACATCTTGATGGTAGGGCTACTTTGCAGCAGAGAATACAGAAGCTCGGTTTTATGCAAAGCTACAAAAGTAGTTGCTTCACAAATTGCACTAGAAACACAAAGAAATGCCACCAAAATAACAAGATTAAGTTGTTTCTCACTCTTCCCACACTCCTCCCCGAAAAAAAAGGTTATTAAGAACCCCGAGACAAAGTTTACCTCTCAAAATCTCTTACCAATTTCTCTAGGAAAATAACCCTTTAAGATATATGCAAGTTTCTCACTGATGGCTCAAGTTACTGCTCACTCTCTGTGAGCTTTATGCATTAAAGTGAGAACACAAGATATATTTCATACCGGATTTAACTAAGCTGCAGGACTCAGGATCTTCTAGCCGGACATCTGAAAATGAAGCTTCAGAAGACAGCTTCTTCTGTTCCTCTTTTAAACTCTGTGCAATTTTCTGCAGAGGAAGATACACGACAAAATTTTAATATTTTTTTCTCCTCCTTAATTTAAGCAGCATTACACTGCTTTGATTACAATAGAGAAAAGCATACTAAATTGCAAAAGCAATTAGCTACTCTCAGCAACCCAGTGTTTCAAAGACATTAAAAGAAATAGACAGATGTTTCCAAAATAGTAACAGAAAGATGTCAGTATCAATTTAAGATTCACAAGTATTACACAGATCTGTGTAAAGCACTGTTCTTTCCATTTTGCCTGTTTTTACTGATCTCTAAATAACCAGTGAAGCCACCTAGAAAGAGAAGCTCAAAATAGGGGAACCCAATTCAACACTCACTGGATTTCATACAGATAATTTCTGTGATGGCTTTATTCCTATAAATTATATGTGCAGATGGCCCCAAAGTACTCCCTAGCTTACTCCCTGCACGAGTTCAACAAAAAGCTTTCCCCTAACATTACTCAACACTTCCACACTTTAACCTTTTTCACTAGTTGGTCTGCCTCAAACCAACAAGAAGCGGCAACAATGGGCAAAGAACTGCATTAATATTTGAGCAGAAAGCAGAACAGCACAAGAAATATTTCTGCCCTGTGCTTTTAACATTTGAATAATTGATTTACTCAGACAGAAAGTCTCTCTAAATAGCAAGGTTTTGAGGTTTAAAAGCAATCAAGTAGCAAAATTAATCTCATACCAGGCAAAAACTGGAGTCTTATGAGGACACATGAAGAACAGCGTAATTTCTTGATTTAGAATGAACTGTAAAACTAACTCTCCTCTTCTTCCTAACTGAATGGCCATAGGACTCTAATTAGAAAATAAGGCCTTGTGTGGACCAAGTATCTGCACTGGTTGCCTACAGAAGTTATAGCTAACACTAAAAAAGTTCTCACGATTATTTTTTTATCCATTTCTATTCATACAATTTTAGCAAAAAAAACCGCAAACAAGCCAACCTGCACACCTAACAGTTATAGTGGTAAAACTTCTGACCACTAGTTGTTCTGAAGAAGGGATCCCATTTAGCTACATTTTGTATGGTCGGCTTCTCACCTACTGTATTTGTTTTCTCTTCAAAAGCTTATTAGTCCTTAAACTTTCAGTATAAAGGGCAAGTATTCTACAAACTCTCTAGCTTCAGGATTTGTAAATGCTTTCCTAAAACCCTATGAATGTCCCTTATAATCACCAAAGCATAAACTGTGACATAATAAAACCTTTAGACATGTATAAAGACAAGATTATAGCAACCTGAGTTCAGTACTAAGAAGTTTCACACAGTATTTGGCTGTTTACAGGCAAGAATTGAACACAGTAAGATAGTTATACAATGTTACTTTCTTCCAGCCCACAGCAAAAAAAACCCCAAAACCAACTATGTACATATATAGAGAGCTATAAAGCTTCTACGTTCTATATAAGTAATGCTCTGATTCTGAAGTCAAACAACAGCTTCTCTAGCAACTGGTCAGCTGCAAAGAACTGCAATTTTCTAAGCACCACCAGCTATTCTGGTAGGTAAATGGAAAGCAGAAGAGAGCAATAAAATCTGGATCTTGCCAGCCCACATTGGAATTGCGTTCTTAGTCAACCCAGTCCTTTGACAGCTTCGGCCTCTCATTATAAAGTGAATGGCAACAGTTATTTGGGGGGATCTTTATTATGCTTAATCGCCTTCATGCAGTGCTACCTTTCAGCTGCATTTTGAATGCAGTTTGCTCTAGTCAAAAACTAACTTAAAGTCTTTCATCGGCCACTTTTTTTATTTCTGTGAGTAGTTTTGTTTTGAGATCTTTCATCAATATAGTAGTAACCTTTTGAAGTAGAGTTAGTTTGATTCCTTTCAACAGGAACTCAAAGAGCATAGAATGACTACAAAAATTACTAATACTGATAAGAACTTTAAAAAGGCTACTGTAAACCATTGCTGGCATGTTAAATTATCTAAAGGTACAAGGTACAAATCTCCCCTCACACTGCCTGAGCATAGAGTGCACACATGTGTACCAAACACGAGTTGACCAGTAATTCTGAAAACAAAGTTGCAGCTAACCGTGCCCGTCTGAAGCTTCTCTTCAACTCCAGCTCAGCTAGAAAATACACTGGGTAATACCTACTACTGATGAAAGTAAATAAAAATTTACTGTTATGAGACAAAATTTAGAAGCTTCAAGTTTAGATAAAACTGTTAACTGTGAGAACTATCACTAGTTTTACTGAGTTCGACGTAAGTCTGACATCTAGTTTAGGGTCAGAATTTAATCAGCAGGTGCCAATTTAATAGTGCCAGTAATACACCCAAGAACTGGAAAACCCCATCTGCAAAGCGCTATACTGTACAATTGTATATACTGCATATAAAAAGAAAACCAAGCAAGGACAGTAAAAAAGCTGATCCTATACCTCCATCATTTCCAACTTGTCAGGATATGCAAGATCGCCCGGAGCAGGCTTGTAGCCTGTGATATCAGTCTGAATGTAAATATGCGTCCGATAAACAAGACGCTCTTGTACATCTTCTAACATCTGCTTGACACCAGCTGCAAATGCACCCAGTTGTTCAGCTGACAAAGGTAAAAAAATGGAGAAATTTGTTAATTTTCTTAAAAAACAAGCTTATAGACACAGAAGTTTGAAGTATCACATACAGAACCATCACAAAATTGGCTTGCTGCACACGAAGTCAGACTATTTTTGGAACAGCAGCATGCAGACAAGTTTGTGACAGACAAGGAATTACTGAACTCCATATTGCAGTTGCTTCAGCTCCCCAAATTTTCATTAGATAGTGAAAATGTGATCTCACACTGGTAACATCAGACGCCATGTTAGAATTAAGCATTCTAATTATTTGAGACCTGGTTAGGTCGAGTGGCATTTCTGCCTGGACACCAAACCAAGGTGCTTTGGTTCTATCACAGCCAATGCCTGCAGTGTGACTGTCAGGAGTTGACAAGCTACAGGCTTGCCAGAACAGATGACCCAAAGCAGCTCATATCCAGCTTAAGAACAATTGTATCAGCCTGAGTTTAAGTAGTAGAAAGTCACTTCTTAAGATTAGTCGAAAGATTATGTCACCATTTTTTTCCTCATTCCCAACAGTGTTACAATTTACTTCCAGGAAAATGTGAAAGCCTTCACGATATCAGCACAGCTTCGGAGACAAAGAGCTATGCGGTGTTACATACCAGCTACTCAGTATGATTTTGCTTTATTGCTTGGTGCGAGGTTAAGACTGTGAAATGATTCCATTATACACTGGTCATACTAAGGAAACGAGACACCAGATTTTTTTCTGACTGTCAGCTCAATTCTGTGAAACTGTGCGCTTTGAATACTTCCCAAACTCCAAAATCTCTACCAGCTATGTAACTCCTCTACTGAAGTTACAGTTTCTACTCTGGGAAACACTATGTTAAGGAGAATGAAAAAATCAGGTTTGCATGCCTTAGTTTTATCACCATGTATGCAGAAAGCTCTATACAGATTAGCAAGGACAAGTGAAGCAATTAATTGATTTGAAAAGTTCATTTAAATCAATCCTGGTGCACGTATACATGTTGGGTGGATGCTTGCTTGCATTTGTACAATCTAGAGAAAACAGGACTCTATAACATCAGTGTATTAATTTAAATGAAGGTATACACAGACCCGTAAATACAGACCTCTCTATTATAAATGAAAAACATAATTTAAAATAACCTTACCTCATCTTTAACATGTTTAAGGCCCATTAGAAAGAAAAAAAAAATTCTAGGTTTTTTTCCTATGCAATTTAATGATTTTATCAGTTAAGAAGACAGTTAAAAACAATCAGGTTCCATCTGTGAGTTACCATTGTTCTGTACATGATCTTCAAGCATCTCATTTTTGAGAATCCCACAGAGTTCAGAAAGTGTCTCTAAGTGAATGACATGGATGATCATTGGCCTCAGGACATCATACAATGAAAGACACAACTTCTCCAGGAGTTCACTATGAAGAAAAAAATAAACCAAAGCAAAACATTTTCAGGATCTCACAATATCAGAATAGAATTTTATCACAAACACAGATTATTTTATGGCAAAGATTTTTAAAAGGAAGGTGAGAAAGGACTGTTTAAAACATGAACCCCTGATTTCCTACAAAGTCTTTTAAGAGATGTAGGATACAAACTGCTTAAAATGGTGGTACAGTTTTGAATTGATTTGAAGCAAAAAAAAAAAAAACAAAAACAAAAAACAAACCACCAAAAAAACCAACGAATCATACCCCCAATTTCCCCTTGAGAAAAGGCTCATCTGATTCCAAGTACTCAGTAGTTTATTAGAAGCAGGAGCACACAAAGAGGGACACAGGAGGAGAAGCTTGGTAACCTTTTCTGTAATAACTTCCAACATTGCAAGGTGCACTTTCCTATCTAGCTGAAGTCATGGTATCAATACAATATGAAACACCAGAAATCCCACTTCAATTTATTTATTTTCTTTCCCATTCAAAGTGAAGCATATCTTGGTTAAGATACTGATAACATTCATTCTAGAAACTTTTGCCATTCTCAATGCTTCCTTCACTAATCACAGATTTAGCTAATAATCACAGAATCACAGAATCGCAAGGGTTGGAATGGACCTCGGGAGATCATCTAGTCCAACCACTGCTGTTGCCAGTAGCTGAAAATGCAAGCAATTCCCCAGTTAGACTTGGAAATATAAACACTAAGAATATTTAAGTAGTACAGTTGTTGATTTTATTGCACTATATTTTTTTTCTAATTTGCAAAGAATGTCTGACCACAGGATAAGGACAATCCAGCTCCTTTCAGAGTGCAAACAAAAAATGCTCACAAAAGAACACTCACAGAAGAAACATTTTGAATGTCTCTTCTGTCATATTCTATAGCTTTACAAGCAACTTGATAAAACACTAGCTCTCCGTGTTAAAACCAGAAACAAAAGGAGAAAGTTTCAACAGCGTTATTATTACATACCACACTCAACCTCAGATCTCTACTACTGGCTAAGTTTTTGGTAAACTCTTACCTGTACGTTGACACCTAGCTATTATGTCTTCAGAGCCCTTCAGAAAAAAAATGAGGCTATTTATTATGCAGCTAGGAAAAACCCAATAAAGTAGTTACTATTTGAAACATTTTCCTCAAAGTATTTTATTTAGATGTGGGCAAAAAAAGAGAAGCAAGTTCTTGCGAAAGGAGGTAACTACTTTCCATCAAGATTCAAAAATAATCAGAAGTCTATTCTCATTCTTGGTGTAAAGAGCAACAGTGACAAAATTTCTGTGTGAACAACATTTTACGCTGTTAGGGATGTTTACTTCAGGATTTGGACTGAGATAGCTAAATTAGTTCTTAAGCCAATTTAATTAGGTCACCTCAAATCCTGAGCACGTCCCACATGAGACCTCAATTTCTCACAAATGAGAAAGACTGCTACTAGTCTGGCACTAGGACTTATTTCTAGTGAGGCTTTATGCATTTATGGCTTTCCTTTAGCTTTAGAGGACGGGAAGGGTAGTAGTGGGCATTATTTTTTCCGGGTAACACTTACTCAGCTCCAGCTGCACTTGATTTTAAGATACTACAACACTCAAAACCAGTGTCTTGGTTCTATTAATAGGTATATACTTTGTTTATGAACTTCATAGCAAGGGAACATGACCTGCTCAAATTTTGAAGTTAAATATCATTATTAAAACATACCAGCAAATTGGAGAAGGGGCATAATCTACTCAATTGCTCTAATATTACAGGTCTGTTGTAAAAAACTTACAATACTTTCATAATGCAATTACCATGTGAAGATGACAACCTGTCCCTCTTCTAGATCTAGGTAGAGCAGAAACAGATACTGTCCTTGTCAGGCATCCACTACCCCACCCTCCCTTCAGCCCACATACAGGCACATGTAAATATTCCTTGACAGTAAGGGCAGCTCAATAACTTTAAACACTTCATGAAAAAAGGCTGGAGTTAGTCAGCTTAATTTTACACTGAAGTAAATGACTGTGCAAACCGTTGGCATAAAGGCAGTACAAAACCAGCTGAGAACCATAGCACTGTGAACTTCTACAGCAGTTTCCAAAGCAAATCTGTGTCTCCAACTCTTTCAGACCATCTACAGAGCATTTACATTACTCAGATTATTTATGGAGAATGTAAACTATCAACTTCACTTGAACAGAAAAGAAAACAAAGTGATTAAGGTTTTTTTTTCTTGCTGGTTCTTACCAAACCACTTCAGTACAACCCTATTTGCCATATAACATTGTCTGCTACATCACAGCATAGTAAATAAACCATACAGTAAAACAAAGCCAGCATGTACCACCTACTCCAGTTTTGGTGTTGGTTTTGTGAAGAACTCATTATAAAGCTGGTGTTCATCCTGGCATACATGGACCATGAAGGCACAACCACTTCGTACCTGTGTTCACAGAAATACAAATACTTGATTATTAAATTATTTTCCTTGCATCAGTACCACAGGAAGTATGACAGATAATATATTGTATTATTGTTACTACAGCTATGATTAATTTGAAGCTTTGTGAAATTCAGGATTTTTGAGATCAGCTATAAAACTAAGGACTGAAAAGATGTTACTGGCCAAATAAAAGTTCATTGTGCAATTTCTATCCCTTTTTGTTTCTGATGAAATTTACATAACGTCATTTTATGCTCTTGCAAATACCCTTTGTGAGGTTTGCAGCAGAGCAGAGTTTTTACACAAAATCTTCCATAAAACATGCATTACTTGAAAATATTAGTAAAACCTTAATGATTCAAAACCACAAACAAAAGTGACAATTCTACAAGTAAATGAATTAAATAAGTACATTTTACCTGGGGGAGGAGGGATTAAAACATAAGAAAAATCTCACAACACAGGACTACTTTACCTACCAGAGCACAATGATCTCTGTTGTTCTGACTGGTTAATTCTGTAACAGTGCTAGTGATACTTGGACCAAGCAAGAGCTCCCTCTGGTCGAGGTAACACTGATGAATTTCACTGAGAACTTGTTGATACCTAGCCAAGAAATTAAAACAGTAACTGCATCCTGAAGCTCATTTTCTGATAAACGTAAAATTCATTCTGATACCCTCTTTTAGGTCTACATGATTTCAATCTTTAACATTTTCTTTTAAATGAATAATGCGGTAAACAGTACTTAAACAGAAGTAAAGATTTTCAAAACTGAAAATTGTTGAAAATAAATTATGTAGAGATACTCACTCTGGCATTTTTTCAGATCTTTGCTCTACTTGTTCAATAAGAGTCTACTCAATAAAAAGAAAAAAGTATTATCAGTAAATGATTTTTTCTAATAATTGCAAAATAGCTTGCAGTATTTTTCCATGGACACAATATGCAATCTTTGGACATTCACTCTTGCACAATACGCAATCCCTGCACTCACACTACTAATAAATTCAAAGCCCATTTTCATAGCTTCCTTTTTAACAGTTAGTTACCAGACTACTTACTCTGACTTTGGGAGCAGCTGCTCTGAATTTTACATAAAACAGCGTGAAGGCATTGTCAGAATTTGGCACAGCTGAAGGATCCTGAAAGAAGAGATGAGTAATTGGTTAAAAAGGAAACTACTATATTTGGCTTCTAGTATTTAATGGCTGAGATAATTAGGCTCTAAAACAGGATATTCATTCTTTACATTTATACTACCAGTGGAACAGCTCTTTGTCACTTTCCATCTAGAAAGCCATGCTTGTTTCAGAACTGTGATAAAGCCAGATGAAAGAACAAAACCCATAACAGAAGTTTCAACCAACAGTCTCTACAGCAAAAGTAACATTTCCAGTAATTACAGCATTCTCCATTAGAGAGAACAATTTTCTCTGGACCTGCCATAGTAGTACTGATTGTTGCTCCTTAATCTATAGTACTAAAACGGAACAAAATTTCCCTTTTACCTGCCAGTCCCAGGGCAGAGAAGCCAAGTTTCAGCTAGCATTCCAGCTTCAACTGGAACATCAAGTTTTGAGGCAGTTCCCCGAGGCTCCCCAGCTTAGCTGGGCAGAAAGTTTGAACTTAGAGAAATTCTAGCAGAAACGAAGCAGAATGGAGACTCAGTTTAGCCACTAGGCTTTCTTCCCCTTATCCCTACTGATGACAGAGAAAGAAACAGATGCCCTTCCCTTGAAACATGGTGGGGACAGGAAAACTCTTCCACCTTCCTCATCTCCTACTTTCATCCCTGTAGGCAACCTGATCATCCTTCTACATACACAGATCAAAATCCCCAAACACCCACATGCGAGGAGTAACAAAAATGAACATCTAAATCTCATCATTCCCTTTCCAGACCTGACAAGACCTCCTGTTAGAATCATAGAATAGAATTGTTTAGGTTGGAAAAGACCTTTAAGATCATCAAGTCCAACCAGTAACCTAACACTGCCATTCCACCACTAAAACATGTCCCTAAGCACCTCGTCTACTCGTCTTTTAAATACCTCCAGGGATGGGGACACGACCACTTCTCTGAGCAGCCTGTTCCAATCCCTGACAACCCTCTCAGTGAAGCAATTTTTCCTATTGTCCAGTCTAAAGCTCCCCTGGCACAACTTGAGGCCATTTCCTCTTGTCCTTGTTGTGCTGCAATAGGAAATCTCAACACTTGATCACAGCTAAAGACCACTGGTCCAGTACTGCGCTTCTAGCAGAAGCAGACATTAGGTGTTTCAGAGAAATAGGCAAAACATCCACAAAACCCCCACGTAGATGGGATGGAGGAGGTCACCTGACTGCTACAAGAGGAGGTCTTCCTGACTTAAAACTGCTAAGCAGCTATCCAAATCCAGAAATAAGGTTTCACCTCTTTCTGTACACTTGCTTATTATTGGAGATTTGCAACTCTGCTTGAACTCAGTTCAGTCATGGCAATCCATCAGCATCAAACCAAGCTACAATACGTTTTTTTTGAAATAAAACCTAGTTTTGTACTGTCCTGGTTTCAGCTAGGATAGATTTAATTTTCTTCATAGTGGCTTGCCTAGTGCTGTGTTTCGGATTTAGTACAAAAAGAATGTTGATAACACACTGATGTTTTTAATTGTTGCTAAGTAGCGCTACGACTGGCCAAAGACTTCTCGGCTCTCAGCTCTGCCACGTGCACAGAAAGCTGGGAGGGGACACAGCCGGGATAGCTGAACCCCAATTGACCAAAGGGCTATTCCATACCACATGATGTCCTGCTCAGTAAAGAAGCTGGGGGAAGAAAAAGGAAGGGGGGGACGTTCAGAGTGATGGCATTTGTCTTCCCAAGAAACTGTTACGCGTGATGGCGCCCTGCTTTCCTGGAGATGGCTGAACACCTGCCTGCCCATGGGAAGCAGTGAATGAATTCCTTGCTTTGCTTGCGTGCATGGATTTTGCTTTATCTGTTAAACTGTCTTTATCTCAACCCATGAGTTTTCTCACTTTTTCTGATTCTCTCCACCATCCCGCTGTGGGGGGAATGAGTGAGTGGCTGCATGGGGCTGAGCTGACATCCAGGTGAAACCACAGCATGTACCAAACATGAAAAATGTTCAATGCCACTTAACCAAGATCTTCACTTCAGGAGTATCCTTTAGCAAGTTTCCATGAACACTGTCTAAAATCCCCTTCTTTTAGTTCTGGCAGTATTCAATTCTAGCACCTTTCAATTTCACTCGTTATCCCTCATGACAACAAGTTTGCCTGTAATAGGACTGAGCACAAGGCATACAACAATTAATTGGAGAAAGAAAGAAAGTAGGTAGAAAGAGACATTCCCCTCTCCTTTCTCCTCTGCCAAAATATTGCAGCACAAGACTATCGTTTTAATGAGACCAAAAAAACCTCCCTACTCACCTTTTATGCCTAAATCCCACCGGACTGAATGGGAGTAAAGCACCTAACGCCCCCCTGTGACTCTAACATCACTGTTAACATCTTAAAACTAACCAAAAGATTCTGCCAAAACTAGTAGGAACCTGTCACAGTTATTTTCTGCAGCTACACAAAGCACTGTAGACATCAAAAATAAGTATTTAGATTATCAAAAGCACCCAAAAAATACTTACTGGAATATAATACTGAAAAAGTCATGTAATGAACACAGAATTGTTGTGCTTTAACAGTTTTCATCCTACAACACCCAACTCCTATAGACTTTCTTCAAGTATTCCCTGACACCTCTATCTCTGTCTCCAAACATCCATCTCCAAAAGAGACCCCCGCAGTACCCATATTTCTCTTGTGCACCCTCACCATTTTGCAACACAGATAGCAGCATGCACTGCAGCTGATTCAGAGCTACAGTGCACAGACTGGCTCAGGAAAGCACGCTGTCTGGCCAACTGGTTGCTGCCTCTTTAACACAGTCATTTATCCATCCCTGTCCTTCACTGAGGTAACTGTTCACCTACCTCCATTCACCTACTTTACCTTCTTCAATTTCCAGGATTTTTTATTTATTACTATTTTTAAATCTTTTGGATCACTAGGTCTCTGTCAGATTTGGCTGAAACTTGGCCAGTCTATCACAAACACTGTGGTATAGGACTGATCTCTTTTCACAGAAAAGTTCTGACACCTCCCAACCTCAAAAAAATAAAAAAAAGAGAAGAAAACTATATGGTGTTACAATAGACATTTCAGTACAGCCTGAGTTACCACTTATTGATTCAACTTACCCTTTTCATTAACTGGCTTGTGAGGTTCTGTAGTGTATTCACAGTGTATGTCTTGATAAGGTGCATAGCTTTAGAAAGGCATTGTTTAAACTTATTCAAATATACAGGGTAGTCTTTAAAATTTGGCTGAAAGAAATAAAAAAATCCATTTTAAATACAAACAATAAGAGTTGAAAGATTTTTTAGACTCAAAATACTCTTTTTACTAGCTAGAAATGTTGGTACAAATTAAAAGCAGTATTTTTTATAAAAAGCAGAATATTAAGTATATTTAGTGCGTATTTCTTAAGTTTATAAACCATCTTTGCTTTCTTACTGTATTTGGCAGAGACAACATTTTACAGAAAAAAAAAAAAAACACAAAAATAGTATGAAACTATTAAGATCTAACTAAAACCAATACAGAATTACTTACATGTGATGAAATATATGCAATACAATCATCAAGCTTAGCCAGCATGGGAATGAATCCTTCACTGTTCACAGACAGCGTAGGGGAATTCAATTTCTTTGGAAAGCAAGACAAAGCATCGTTGTAAGGAACCCAAGTAACTTAGTGTTGGCAACAAAGTTCAAAAGACCAGAACACTTTCATTTTCTAAGACTGTTAACAGTGAAATAGTACTTACTGTGTTGATGTTTTCCAGCTCATTAAAATAAGAAAGTTTCTGCTGGATGTTTTCAGCCAGATCAACAAGTTCTGACTATTAAGAAACAATAAATAAAAGAAAGTCAGCAACCTAGCAAGTAGTTTTTATACAAAGATAAAAAATTATTCAGCCTCCCTTTCACCTCTCAGCATACACCAGCATTACCTACCTCTAGACAACCTGCAACTGAATAAGTACAAAAGATGCAGAATACAGCTGTGCTCTCTTGCTCTCTCTGACCAGAGAAAGACGCATTACTCTCAACAGTGTATTTAAAAACATACTTTCCACAGGTTTCTCAGCATTCCACAGGTACTATTGCATATAAACAGCAATGCTGCCATCAGTATTACAGAGAACTGCAGAAATCCTGCATTTCAGGATTGGAGCCTTTAGAAGTTCTCCCTTATCCAGTCACGCCAAAAAGACACATTCATTATATCACTGTTGGAGTGGTTCATGAGGAGAAAGAAAGTGTCTGGAAATAAGCTCATAACTTTAAAAAAAATATCTTTCTTCTTGTAATAACCATCTCAAAATACTTCTGAGAGATATGAATTATTGACCTCGATAAAGTTTGCACATGTCAGGCATCAGTTACAAACATTCCCCTCAGCTAGCTATCCTCCTTGATTAAAATGTATATCAACACATACTGAACATTTTACTGCACAGGGCCTGCCTGACACCCTAGCTACAGGTGAAACACACCAAAAATCAGGTCCAAAACAAATGGAGGGATTGCCACCACAGCTTACAAGTTTTCCCAGCCTGAGAAAAAGAAACTTTCATTCATGGTATCTTAGAAGTTTCCAGTAATCCTCCCATCAAAGATTACCTGCTCTTTCAAAAGCTGTTCACAGGCCTCATGCAGCGTTCCTGTCTTCGTGGACACAAAAAGATACTGTTTTTGCAGTGACTCCAGGTGCTGAAGGGCACTATTTACATCATTCAAGATAGCATCACATTGCTCCTGAAACCCAGACAAGTAATCCCTCATCTGTCTAGAAAAAGAGAATCAACAGATAACAGAAGTAAAATTCCACTTTCTGTATTTGCACATCTGGCTGCCTGCAGGGACACTGCCACTACCTTTCCCTCTCCAGGAGTAACAGACCACTTGCATCAAACAAGAGGGCACAATAACGTTTCATGACCCACAGAAATAACAGAGCTGTAGGGTTTGGAACAGCCACTGCAGTAACTCCATTTCCCCAACGCTCCTTACAGCAAGCCTACTCAGAAAGCAAGCGCATGCACCACAGCCTGCCTAGAGCACGCAAATACCGTCTAAATGGACAGCACAAACACAGTGACTATTGCAGCTACCTGCTTTGCTTCCAACAGGGGTGTTAATTTGGGTTTCTTTATCTATACAATTTTCAGTTTCCATTTAGAAATTACTTTTCCTCTCCTAAAGTAGCTGAAATTATCCAGAAGATTCAAAACTTACTGTGAGGATTGAAAGAGGCTTACATGAAATAGATCCAGTACCTAACATCACCAAGTTTGCCAAAGGCTCAACGCAGATATAAACTCTAAATGATCACTAAATACATGTCAAGCATTCAGCTTGACTAAAACATCATTTAAAATTAATTACTCTTGGTTGTCAGCTAAAACTTCTGAGTTCCACTTTACCACATACAAAGCAGAAAATAAAATCACAGTTCTCCGTAGTCACATGCAACCCTTTAGCATACAACAAGCAAAGAACCTACTTAGTATTTTCCTCCTGCTCCTCTGGCCACCTGCAAACAATTACATATTGGCCATCCTACAAACCATTCTGCATCCCTGGCAGACTTAAGTATGTGCGCTATTATGAACATGTCAACTGACAAAGCGCAAGGGGTGCTACTTTTTTTAGGTTGTTAATGATCTGATTGTAGGCTTAGTATTTGCCCAAACCTCTGCTTTTAAGAAACGTCACATCCTCAAGCATCAGAGCAAAAGAGGATAAACAGGAGAGGGGAATACAGCAGCACCTCTCCGTGGCCAAGGGCAAGTTTGTAAAAGTCTTACAATACAAGCCAGACTCCATAAAAGCCATTCAGCAGATCTAAGCCATTCAGCTGTACTGCAGACTCTTGAGGAGTAACTGCAAAAGTCAGTGGGAAGGGGTTCTTCTGAGCCTGACAGAAAAGTCAGTTAGACAGAAACAGATGAGAATGCCAAGTCTCAAAACTGGAGCTGAGCAAAGTGACAAGGAATGCAGGGAATGCAGATACAGAATCACAGCCACAGTCACTGGTGAACCGAATGGCGAGAGCAGAAATGGCTACGGGCCACGCCTGCTTACACAGTCTCGCCCTAAGAGGATGCCATTTCAATAGCAGTGGCAGTTGAAGAGGCATATGAAAGCTCTTAGATTGCCGCTGTCTACAGCCCTGTCTGTAAGCCAAAACTAATTTCAATCTGTCTTAATATACTGGGCAGTTCAGAAGGAAGTCTGCGTCCCTTTTAACTGCTCTGCCACGAAGGCAATAGCCTGCAGGACAGGAGCGAGGCATACTGCCTTGGAACGCTTCAGCTGTTCCAACACACTCCCCCATTCCCCACCAGCTGAATCCAAATGCATGCTAACATTACATGGACAAGATTAAGTCCTTCAAGGGTTAAATTGCTTACAGTGAAAGGAACTGAGGAAGAACACGTACCTATACTTGGCACCTTCATCTTGATCCATCTGTGTTTGTACCTGAGCAAACCAGGAGAAGAACTAGAAGAGATTTTATGGTGTGAACAACACAGGTATCACAGGCAATCAATTAAAAAAAAAAATCAGCTCTATGAAATGAAGATGAGCTGTTGTTAAAAACAGATATGTTACAGAACTTAATTATTAATCAAGAAAATAAACTATAACTCCTCATTGTAGGTCCCTTCCAACTGAAATACTCTATTCTATTCCTCCACTAAATTAAACCAGGAAAGACTGAATTGCATCTAGTTTAATTTGCACAGGAACAAGGCTGTCACACTAGAAAGGGGGGAAGGGGCATGACATTCTTTTTATCATGAGCAACACCACCTTACTGAAGGGGTGCCTTACTCTCACATAAGACTCCATTTGAAATGGGAAAAGTTCTGTCACTTAAGTGCTACGACTTCAACAATATTTTTTTTCCCTCCCAAGTTTCTTCATGCATCTTGAAAACAGCCCAAAACATTTAACAAACCCACCAAAAGCTAGGCAAGAGACACAGAAACTCACAGAATTCTCCAAGGAAGATTTCTGCAACTTGGACGTTATTCAGCATCACTTACCTGCTGTGCTGTTTCAATTCTTTCATCCTCCATCCCCAGTATGGCAAATCCTTTCAAGAGGATGTCCTCTGTGGATTCTGGCACCGCAGCCGTCAGCGTAACAGTTAGTGATGGGGATGTCAGGCTGCACAAATCTTCAATTGGAAGCTGCTCACAAAAACCCACAAAACTTCAGTTAGAGAACTTAATAAAAATTAGTAAATTCAGCTCAACTAAAATAACACAATCCAAAGCATCAACTTGGGAAAATTACAGGCATTTACTTTGAATTAAAAAACGCAATGGACATTTTATCCATCAATATGATAATACATCAACAAATATCACATCTATACATTCAGAAACATGTAACTTTTTTTTTTTACATGAGCAAGTACATGTTTGTGTAAGAGCAGAAACTGAACGTACATGTTTCTGACATACTGATGAGCTACACTTCAATTTCCAGTTTAAACTGGTTCCATACCCAAAGAAACACTAGAAAAGTATCCGAGAATGTAAGAATTCAGAACACACGCAGAAGTAAAAATAAATGTCACCGTTGTCTACACTACATGGCAACACTGCTGTGCAGGAATTGTCAGATTTTTTTGCCAGATATCCAGAGAAAATTCAAAACTTAACACTGCCAGAATTTATTCAGGAAATGGTGTTTCATATTCTTCCAAATGCTTTTCATGAAGAAGTCAAGCTAAAAAGAAAGGCTTTTTCAGACGACAAGGAATAGTTCTGCTGAACGGGAATTACCAGCCACAGTGATTTTTTGAGCAAGAAAAATAAGGACAAAAGTAACTTGAGAGAAATTGTATTTAAGTATGATTGGAGACTATTAATTAGCTTATATGGAAGAAATTAATTCAAGAAAACAATTACCATTTATGTAATACCCTTTTTAATTCACTTGACAAGTAAAGTGTGTTTTCTATTGCTGAGAACCTCAATAACATAAAAGCAGAAAACATTACTTACATATAAATTGGTATCTCTCTAGAAAATTACTTGCTTAGCAAAATATTCATTGCCTTGTGACATTAGTCTGGCAAAGAAAGAACAATCAGAATTTCAACTATTTGCAAAAAGACAGATTGACCTATCTTGTTCAACTTCCACATATCTCTCCTCTCCAAAACAGGCAGGACCCTAGCTGGGGAGCCAGGGTTTCTCCCGTGACTACTACTGAGGAAAAGACGAGTCCATCAGAGCCTGCTTTTTCCAAACAGCCATGACGCCACTGTCCCAATCCACTTCATCAGGAGCCAAGACCAGCTGACGTACTCAATGTCTTGGCATCCCCCTTGTCCCGACCGGCAAATATGGTCTCTGCCTTGTTGCAAAGCTGGTTTAGATCCTTAGGAACATCCCCCGATAGCAGTACATCCTTCTACAGTCATTCTGGATGCCTGCCAATATTTACTTCAGTACAGTTGCATTCAGCTTGTGCAAAAAAAAGAAACCAGGAAGCATGAAATTAAATGGATGCATTTCAGGAAGGAATTGCTTTATCCTCTCCCACTTGCTATTCTGACCTTTCAGACACTTACTGAGAGCCAGCTTTGTTGATTTTATGGCACTACATCTCCTGCTACGATCCTGTTCAAATACAAAACCTCCCATGAAAAGCGCCGTTAAGGAAAGCAAACATTTCGTTCCGCTTCCCTTTGCGGACAAGGGAACATTCATGAATGTTGTCAGAGCCTGGTATTTTATAACAGCTGAGCGGGAGACCTCGTCTTCCGCGGTAGCCACAAATTATTAAGCCTTTTACCACTACTCCTGGCTTTGTGCAGCTCGTTGGATCATGTGCAAGTCGTACCAGGTAAGAACATGGGTGCCAGCAGCTACGCATTGGTCGGGATCAAATTAAGGGGGGCAAACCCACGTAACTCCACGACCGACGCTCTCGATTTCAACAGGACGAGCCGGGATGAACGCAGGGAGGCAGTGAGGGCCGGCAGAGAAAGCCCCCTGGGTTCCCAGAGGAAAGCTGCCACCGCTGCCTGCAAACCCCCGGCCGGCCAGGGCAGGCGGGCGGGCAGCACCGCGGCGTGAGGCGCCTCGGGAAGCGGAGGGAAGGGCGAGCCCTCCCGAGGGAGGCCCCGAAGCCCCACTAGAATGCGAGAGGCTCCTCGGCCCCGTAAAAACGGGAAGGGGGGCGGAGAGC